CCCCAAAACCCCAAAACCCCAAAACCCCAGATAGTTATACATGGATTGAAATTTAGTCTTCTTCATCAATTAGACCAGAAATCTCGGATTTCTGTATAAGATTATTCTTCTTTTTGTCAGATCTTTCGGAGAAAAATTCTCCTCCTGAGTTATCAATGATTTCTGGATTAAATCTTCTTTGAACAGATTGGTGACCTTCAGACCTCGCAAATCCATTGAAAATTTGCTCAAGAGTGGTTTGGGATGCTGAATACTCGTCCAAATTGAGCTTCTCCCTTACCTTCTCCAGTAATCCAAAGAAATATCCAATTGACTTATCTTGCTTCTGGACTGAATATCTGTAGCGTGGGTAAATCTGTTCTATTAATAGTGTTTCTCCAAACTCAGAGACTATAAAGAGTTAAACAATACAAGTATAATCCTTACCAAGTACTTTAATGGCTTCCAAATTATTTCTAGTGATATGTTCCCATTTTAGTAATTCTGTTGCTGGATAGTATCCTCTCTCATCCAGAATCTTAATAATTTCTTTTCCAAAGCCTTCTGAATGGAACTCAGCCAATATATTATGGCTTTGTAGTAGATCTTCAAGAATTGCCCTTCAGGCCTCGTTGCGCAACAATATTAATTCCTGTCCGTTTGAATTTTCGAGTTTGTACATCGTTGGATATTTTTGCCTTAAGAAGGGGACTAAACCTAACTCCTCAATTCTTTCTTCAACTTCCTTATCATTGAGTCCTTTGTACTTAATCTCTACCTGATACCCAGTTCCGAACTTGTTCTTAATATGCTGTTTTGAGCCAAAGCACTTGAATTGGCCTGCAACCATAATTCCCATATTGGTCGAAAGTGCTTCTGCTTCCTCCATGGAATGAGTAGTCAAGATAACAGCTGAGTTCTTTCCTCTCGTAGAGATTTTAGCAATAACCTCCCACATAAACCTTCTTGCCTTGGGATCCATGCCTGCAGATGGCTCATCTAGGAAGACCACCGGAGGATTCCCAATCATTGCCATTGCTACCGAGAGTTTCCTCTTGTTTCCTCCCGAAAGAGTTCCTGCAAGTTTGTTTTCATATTGCTCTAAGTTCATACTTTTCAATTGGTCTGTGATAAGTTTAGAAGCATATTCTTGAGGAATCTTCTTAATCTTTGTGTAGAACTTCAAGTGCTCTCTGACAGTCATCAAGTCAAAGATACAGTCGAATTGTGGACAGTAACCAATTTGATTTCTAACCTCAGAGAAATCCTTTTTAACATTGTAGCTTCAAATATGAGATTCTCCTCTGGTTGGTACGATATCTCCAGTCAGCATTTTAAAGGTGGAAGTTTTGCCTGCTCCGTTGACACCAAGGAGTCAGAAGCAGTCTCCAAACTCAAGAGCAAATGAAATGTCCTTTACTGCAGCCTTGTTACCAAAGACTTTTCTAAGATGGCTGGCTTTGACTGCAAGATCAGACTCAGGAGTTTGCTCTACTCTGAGTATCTCAGCTTCAACATCATCATCAAATTGTATGTCATCATCCTGAATATTCTTGCCTTTATTCCTTAAGAAATCGAAGACTCCTAGCTCGATCAGGATCAGCAAAATGGGCCATAGAATAATGTGGATGAGCAAGAAGACAAGATCCCCTCCAGCTGCATCGAAAGAGAGAGGAGTTGGAGGTGTTTCCTTTCTGTCATTTGCTAAAAGATCTTTCACAGCAATGGATGAAATACCTCCAACTGTATCATAAGAAGGGATGAGTCTGAACAACCACCTGATGTTATCTCCAAAATCTTGTGTTGCATCTGTCAGTCTCAGCACAAAGAGGAAGATTGGTAAGATCCCTGCTATAAACATGTGATGCAGTATAGTAAAATTCTGGGCTGTAGAGTCTTCAGTGAAAAAGAAAGAAGTCACATATGTATATGGAACAATAGCAAATGGGAACAGAAGGAGCAATAGCCAAGCATAAGGATACTCCACTCCGAAGATATACAGCAAGGCGATTGAAATCAAGATGGGCACAAACACCCTTATGATATCGAAAATATAGTTGGATACCCAATATGCAGTCTTGTCCATTCCACTGATAGTTTGCTGATGAATCAGGTTGGTCGATTTTTCATGAATCAGAAATCCTATAATACTGACCGGGATTAGTGTAAGACCGATAGCAAGTACTAAGCAGAGGTAGAGGGAGTTCGACCCTCTATCCTGGTCTTTGTACACGTTCACAACAGGCATTGGATCATTTATCATGGTATAGTTGAAGCTCGAGCTGATAGACTTCTTCAGAATTGCTTCATACATAAAGTGCGGAAAAGCCACATGGGAATCTTGACTTGTGCTGTTGTAAAATGTTGCGATCTCATATTGATGATTTGTGTAATCCAGAAAATTAAAGTAATAATGGCCAAATCTTGCTGGAGATAAAGGCTCATCAAGAGAAGCATTATAAATCTGATCGTCAAAGTTTACAAGACGACTTCTCTCAGTTGATCCATTGGCAGTGATAGCAGAAGAAGTAAAGTTTGAAGACGGATCTAATAAATCGATCAAATTTGCAGAATTGTGTCCTCCAGTAGTATAAGTATTGTAGATAATTCTTTGATCTAATGGGAATAGACTTGGCTCGAGTATTCTCTTTGGAGAGTCTTTGTAAAACCCGACTGTTGCAAACCATGTTCCGCTAAGAATCAACACAAACGGTACAAAAATATCCATAAATAGACCTTTTATATTTCTCTTAGTCAAAGTAAATCTTTTTATCAAGAGTGCCCAGCAATGTAAGAAAAATATGCTGATATTTCCCTCAACTTGCTCCTTGGAAATAGTATATTCTTCATCAGGATTATACTCTGAAGTCATCCTCTTTTTGATTCTTTCAATAGCCTTTTCATCTTCTCCTTTGCCAGAATTCTCAACTTTTAGGAAAACTTCTTCCAATGTTGTCATTGAGACTCCATAAGAACTGATTCTCAATTCTCCAAGTCTGTTATCAAATTCCTTGAAGAATTCTGGGAACATATGAGTAGAGTCTTTGGGCAAAAGATAAGTAGCTTCAGAGCTGACTTCAGAGATTTTTCTTGCTCCATCGATCGACTTCATGATAAAATTTTGAAGATCCAGATTCTCTTCTCTTTGCTCTTTGACAATTACTAAGTTAAAGCCCTCTCCAAATTTATTTTTCAGGAACTCTGGCCTACCTCAGCAAAGCATTTTGCCTTGCGACATGATTCCAATGCGGTCTCCTAAATTGTCAGCCTCCTCCATGTAGTGTGTAGTAAGGAGGATTATTCTGTCATTTTTGTATTTCTTAAGCATATCCCACATTTCACGCCTTGCAGTGACATCCATTCCGCTTGAGGGTTCATCAAGGAACACAATTTTGGAGCCACCTATGAGAGCAATGCCGAGGGATAGCTTTCTCTTGTATCCACCAGAGAGGTTCTTCGAGAGTACATTCCTCTTATCTGCCATGTTTAGATCTTTTAGGATTTCATCGATTTCTTCTTGGATCTCATCGCTCTTTTGTCCTTTAAAATCTGCGAAGATCTTTAGATGCTCAACAACAGTCAGTTTTGGGAACAAAATGTTGTGCTGAGGGCAATACCCCATAATTTTTCTGAGTGATTTCATATCCTCCTTGATATCATATCCGTAAACAGATGCTTGACCACTAGTAGGAGACATCATCCCTCATAACATATTGATGGTAGTGGTTTTCCCTGCGCCATTATGACCAAGAAGAGCAAATATCTGGCCTTCGTACATTTTACTGTCAAGCCCATCTACAGCCCAGAACTTGTCAAACTTTTTCTTCAGGTTAGAGATATTGATGAATTCATGGTCATCCTCTTTGTTTCTCAGGTATTCAGGGACTTCTTCGAAGTTGGTCATGTCTATATCCACCTGGTCCTCAGAATTTTCTTCAAGATTTGAGGAATTTCTGACCTTACTTCAGCTCCTTTTTGGGTTTTCGCAACAATTTTCGGAAGCTTGTTTTGAATTTTTCTTCGTATCAAACCAGAAAGATTTAGTGAATGGGAACCAGAGCGGCTTCCTGACGCCTACAGCTGATGGAAGAACATTCTCAAGATAAATTCCAAGTACAGAGAGGATACAAAATGAGATCAAGTTCATCCAGAGGCAAGTTCAGAATCTGTAATTTTCATAAATTTCATTGGCATTGTCGAATCTTACTCCGATTCCAGCTTCTTCGTATTTTAGCAAGTTCACTCCAGCGAGTTGGGCTGCAAGGGATGGAAATAAAGACGCAAAATTCTTGGTTGTCTCAGAGACTGTTCTATCATTCACAATATTATTGAAGAATCCTATTGAGAAAAAGAGCATGATACCTGCCATCCCTGCAGTTTTAGGAGAAGAGAAAAATGCCGATACAAAGATACCAAATCCAAACACTGAAATTCCGTACAACCATAGATAAAGGAATAGGATCAACTTGTTGGTGTTCTCAAAGACTGGGATCAGGACTAAGACCATAGCAAGACACTGGAGAGTGTTTACTATAAAGTAGTAAGTAAACCAAGATAGCCAATATGGAAGATCACTCAGGCCCATAATCTTCATAGCTTCTCTAATTTTTGACCCTTTCTCTTCTGTGCAGTTGTATATGAATCTGTACATTGGGGCTAAGACAACGAAGAGAATGATAAATTCCCACATGTTTCTTATCTGATCTGAAAAGTCATCTTTTACGTATTCATTAGTCTTCATTCCTGTGTAAAGCATTGTAATGTAGGCTCCAGTTCCTCTTGTGTTCATCAAAATTTCATTAGCAATAATATTCTGCAAATAAGTATATCCTCCTCTTTTGTATTGCCTGATAGCATCCTCATTTGGCCCTCTCTGGAAGTCATCAACTGCAGGCAGGTCTTGATTCGGCATGTTAGGGTCATCGCTTCTTTCAGTCAGGATGTCGTCAAAGATCATATTCACTGTAATTTTATCAGTTTCAGCTTCTGTGAAAACAGTTCCAAAACAAATGCCTGGATTTCCATCTTGCTCGTAATCGGAAGCAGTGATAATCTTCATAATGTCATCTCTTGAATCATACATTGTCACAGTGAAGTTATAAGTAGGTATAAGATCAGCCTCTAACCTTGTTTTGATATTCTGCATGATAGTATTGCTAGAAGGAGCGAGTGCTATAATTGTCCTATCAGCAGTATCTTCTCTTCCAAATCAATAGTTAAACCAATTTGTCTGACTGTCAAATATAGAGTATCCTCCAAAATCTTTTGCAGCTGCTGTAGATCCTTGGTCATACCACAAGTAGGCAGAGTCGAGCATGCTGTCAGGTCCTTCGTCACTTTTAGATATGATGAATCTAAAAAGAAGGACTCATAATACAAGTGAGACTGGGAAGAGAAGTTCTCAGAGAGATCCCTTCCAGTTTCTCTTATAGAGATACAAGTTCTTCTTGCATAGTGCTTTGTAATGTCTCCAAAAACTCATTTGTTAATTAATTACTAGCAACCTCTTCAACTTATATACCTTCTCTGGGGTTTTGGGGTTTTGGGGTTTTGGGG